TGACCTTCTCGTCTTCATTGCTACTGTCCGAGTCAACACCATCAACTGCTTCAGCTGAAGTGGCCTCGTCCTCGCCTTCACTTTCAGCTCCTACACCTTCGTCGGCCTTCTCGTCAGCCTCGGTTGGCTCGAAGAGCATCCGACGCAACTTCGCTTCGAGATCCTTCGAGATTTCAGGGTTCTCCTGTAGGAATACCTTCGCCTTCGCCTTGCCCTGAGCGATGGGTTCTAGAGCACGACCGTGTTAGCTTCCCATACAGCTAGGAATGCATTAACTCGATACTTACCATCACTTCCAGCCAGACTGTACCACGCGCCTGACCGCTTCAGCAGACCGTGCTGCACACCCAAGTCAAGCTACACAAGCAAACGCATCAGCAAGTCGCCATCGTAATCAAAACCAACAGCATTGCCGCTCGCCCTTACCAACTCGGACTGTCGATCAATACCACGACCGAACATCATGTCGAAAGTCGCCACCTTGAAGGGAGAAGCCAGCTTGTTCTTGGCTACTTTCACCGCAGTCTCGTTGCCAACAACCTGGTCACCTTCCTTGATCGCAGTCTTTCGACGGATATCCAGCCGCACTGACGCGTAGTAGCGCAGCGCCGTGCCACCCGACGTCACCTCGGGTGATCCAAAGATGATGCCCACTTTTGACGAATCTGGTTCAGGAAGATGATGGTGCAGTTGGACTTTGACAGCGACCCCGTCAGCTTACGCAGCGCCTGGCTCATAAGCCGCGCCTGGAGAGCAATCTGCTGGTCTCCCATTTCGCCCTCAAGCTCCGCACGTGGTACCAGAGCCGCCACACTGTCCAGCACCACGAGGTCCACAGCTCCCGACCGGATGAGCGTGTCCGCAATCTCCAGAGCTTCTTCTCCAGAGTCTGGCTGGGAGACGTAAAGGGCGTCGATGTCCACCCCCAAAGCCTTGGCGTAGTGGGCGTCAATGGCGTGCTCTGCATCAATGAACGCACACACTCCACCCTCGGTCTTCTGAGCCTCCGCGATGCAGCTCAATGCCAGTGTCGTCTTGCCAGAGCTCTCGGGACCGTAGATCTCCACCACACGTCTAGCAATCAATATGTCAAAAGTTGCAGTCGAATTTCCAACCCTCCTTCGTCATTAAACGCACCCTCTAGGGATGCCACCGGTACCTAGAGCCAAGTCCAGTGACAAGGAGCCGGACGAGATGACGTCCACGCGCTCCGCAGTCTTACTACACCACGAAAATTCACATTTGTATCAACAT